AAGGAGACATTGTGATTGTTACAACCTTTAAGATGACATAATAGACATAATGATCTTCAAAAAAAATATATTTTTCTTTGAATATATGGAAAAATACAATGCATTTAGTATCATGACCTTAGAAGAAACTCCCAATATTTGATGATTTTACTAAAGATAAAAACAGCTTTTTATGGTATTACAAATGTTTTATTTGAAAGAAGCTACAAAGGTCTCAATAGAAATGCAAAAATAGGATGGTCTTCTTGCTTTAAAATATGACATTATCAATGGCTAAGAAGACCTATCAATTCTCTTTAAAAGAAAGAAAGATCAAAATATGTAGCAAATACAATTTATTGGATCTTGGACTTCATCAGCATGTGATCTCTGTTCCTTGTGGAACTTATTCTTAGAAGAGAGGATAATGTTATAAACATATATATTTACTCTAATAATTATCTAAATAATATAAATATGTAGAAATAAATTAAAATAGATAAATTTGATAATATCTTATAAAAAAGCTTTATAGAAGCTTCATAAAGATGGTTTTGACTTTACACATATTTGTAATTGAATAATAGATTAGTAACTTAGCCAACAAGTTAGTCACATGTTGCATGTGTTGGTAGCTTGTAGTACAAGCTAATTATGTAGTACACATAGAAAATTTGTTTTGCAAGTTAAGATAAATGTCTTGTAAGTTAGACAAGTATTGAAAGTCTTATAGAACATAATCATGTAGCTCCTAGTTAAATAATATATATGGAAGCATGAATGAAGCCTTCTTTACTCTTATCAATGCCTTTTTAGTTCTTAGTCTTGTTTCAAGTCTTTCTAATTTTCTTGTTTTTGGCAATAGCCATTTTAGTTTAATATAATATCATCTTTGAGTAATTATCTAGTCTTTTTGTATGATAAAAAAATGTATTGATCTTTTAATTCTTTGAGATTTATATCTTTGACAATTGGACATCAACAAACAAATTACAAGTATCTACAATGTAGACAAGCGACAACATAATAAAGTTTAAATTCAAAATTTTCTTGTTAATTTTTTTTGTTGCTATATAAGTATATTATGATAAGATATAACATGAGTTATAAAAATTGATTCCACTAGTAGTAATGTAGTTAATAAATAAGTGAAAGCTATCTAAATGAAACTTAAAAATTTAAACATATGGTGAAACAAGTTCATCTTATAATTAATATTTAATTTTAAAAAATTCTATTAATTTTAATTTAATGCAAGATTTTAATTAGTTATTGTCATGAGCTAACATGTATAAAACAAAATGCAAGATTTTATTCATACTTAAAGTTGGAAAATATTCATAATTTGATCTAAATACATTAATACCATTGCTATTTTATTATTTATTATTTATTTAAAGTTTTATTTTATATTAATAAATTTTTTATTAACTTATTATAATCATGATCATCCCTTGTTAGATCAGTTGTTTGATTGACTATTCTAAACCACATTGTTAAATACACAATAACAACAACAACAACCACATGCAAATGGGAATCAAAGAATCCATCCAAATAAAGACAACACACAACTTTGTACAAAGAAGCCTTTGGCAAACCCCACATGCAATGCAACTAAAGAAAACAGAACATACACAAAACAATAAACAAAAAAACAAACTGGGTGTGGCAAATTGGATAGCTCTTACCAATCTGAGACGCCCAGAACTGAAGCAACTAGTAGTTGTACTCAAAGAAGAATGGAAAACATCTTATTAAAACTATTCACATAAATTTTGTCAACAACAGATCCTCATTTGTTTCTCTAGTCTCTACACTGTGACTGTATGTATAGATGGAGGGGAAGTGAAAGGAAGTCTTGGAAATTATGCAATCAGGTAAACTCCATTTAAGTTATAATCTGATTGCCCAGGAGTTCTGTGAAATTCTCCCACTAAGACTTTTTTTCTTATATGTAAGCAATGAATGTGCTCTTGCATCAAGTGGCAAGTTCAAATTCTCCCAACTGAAATCCTAGAGACATCTTGTACATGTTATGGTGCACAGTTGTTCAGAAGTACTTGCACCATGCACATCATATTTTATTTTTCAACATTGTTTTTGAACACAAATCCCTCCAACTTGCATGACACTGGGATCTACACTTGGAGCTATCTTCTTTCTGTAGACAAAAATAAGTTCCAGTTGATGAGGGAGTATCCTAAGGCCTTGAAGGAGCAATCTCTCAGCTGTGACCCTGCAACAAAAACAAAGAACAGAACGTGAATTTGGTTCCAAATCCTGAGGTAGTCTGAAATTACTCTAGCTCTCTGGAATACAAAAGTGTTGGCTTTCAAGGCAGTGAGGCCCCAACTGCTTAGCTTCTCTCGAAAATAACCTTTGAAATCTTTTCTAGTGATGAGATTTCAAAATGAGTTTTTTGTGACCGCTCAAGCAAATCTTTGAAGTTTAATGAACACAAACTTTTGGATTCACGGCAAATTCACAGCACATGCTAGATATTTCAGCAGTGGGGTTCACAAGTTGTGAAACTAAAGTCATAGCTCGTTGTTCGTATTCTATAGTGTGTCGACCATTGTCGACTAAGGTAAAAATGATATTGGATGCATTCCATACCAACAGTGAAAGCGATCAACCCGAAAATGATAGAGGAAAAAATGATATAAAGGGAAACTAGTACGGAGAATTTACTTGTGGCAAACCTCACTGCAACCTTACATGCTTTTGAACGCAACAAGGCTTGTGGTGATGAAGATCTAAGAAGGGAATGTGTGGTGCAATGAACGTCACTGCACCACACCACATTGCACCACAAAATAGCAACACTGCATCACACTGCATAATAGCAATAGAATGTGCGGTGTGGTGCGATGAAAGTGAGCAAAAAAATGGCGATGTACTTTTCCTGTGAATTCAAATTTTCTTCTAAGGGTCCTGCCCTCGGAGTCCCCCACAAAAGGCACTGCTCTTTCACCCTGTCCATTGCCCATTGGCCTCCCTTCACCTCCAGTACCTGTGTTAGGTGGCAAGGTCCACATTATAACACCCAACCAATCACAAACCTCCACATTTTATGGGTGTGCATGTAACAACATTAGGTGTGCTTGTAGCAAGTTAGGATGTGCTTATAGCTTCAATCATTTTTTTAATGTATAAAAATAGCATAAAATTGTAGGATTTTAAAATATTTAAGTGAAAATATATAATTCTATTAATAGCATCTATTAAGTTGTTATATAGTTCCAAATTAATCAAAATAAGATTATGGTTACTTGAGATTATCAAAATATCTTTCAGCTTTTATTGTAGAAGATTGGTTTTGAGTCCTCTTCACTTTGACAATTTTGTATGTCATAATTTGACCAAAACTTTATGTGTGACAAGACAAAAATTAATTAGAAGTCTCTAAAAATTACTTTATTTTTTATTTTTAAGGATAAAGTAATAGTTTTTGATGATATTTTGTGTCCAATTTAATTAGCTATTGTCTTAACCAACTTTTATTACTATGTTTTTACTGATTATATTTGTTAAATTGTAACTTTGTATATATTAAGATTGAATGTCTTAATATTTATAATTATTTTTAAACTTTTATTTTTTTTTAGAAAAGCTACCATAAATGTTTTTTAAATACGCTTAGAAGGATATTTCATTAGAATTTTAAAATGAATTACTTGCTATTATTTATAAATAAATATTACATATTATCTTCCTATATTGTATGCTCATAAATCTTACATAATATGTGTGAGTAGAATTTTAGTATTTGCATGATTAAGAAGAAATTAAAGATTTTGTTGAATTATAGTTTTTTTAGTAAAAATCTATTGCAAGACACATTAAGAGATAATATTAGAAGCAGGTAAATATTTTTAAATAATAGAACTAAAAAACAAATTGAGGGATTTAAAATTTCTTAATTTTGATTTCAATTTAAGATACATATATAATTATATATATGCATATACATATACAATTTTTTTCAATAATATACTAAACTTTTTAATTTCTTTTATAATGTATTGATGCTTATTAAATAAATTTAATAAATAAAATACCTAATTATTGTTTATGTCTTTTTAAAAAGTCAAAAAAAAATTATGATTAATATTTATTACTTTTTCGTTTAAAAAAGCAAATAAATAAACAAAGTCGATGAAGCACCAAGTGATTAATGTGGAAAAGCATATAATAAAAACTTTAAAATTTAATTAAAACTCATAAATCAAATATTATAATTATTTGTATTTAATAAATTTTAAAAATTATCCAAAGACATATATATATATATATATATATATATATATATATATATATAATGATTATTTAATTATTTTTAGAAATTAAAAAAGAATAAAATTTCTTATTGCAAAATATTTCAACCATTCAAAATATATCAAAGTTTAAATCTAAGTTTACCTCAAAATTCAGTTGACAATCTTCTTCTTTTTTTGTTGAGATTTGTGCTTTTCAATTGATATATAAATATGATGACTTGAATATGTGTACATATTTTTTGTGAACTTATATTTGAACGAGGATTCTAACATGCAGAGGATCAAGTCTAGAAACCTACTCACCCAAATGCTCCTTGCTTTTCAAAGCACACTCCATACTCTTCAACAACATTCCAATCCCACCCGTTCCAAAATGATTAGGTTCTATTGTTAATCACTCCCACACCACACAATTACTCAACGCTAGAAAGAAAATGTAAATCACATTCATCCAATGACTGTAGGGAAATAGGAAATCAAGTCATTGAGTTTCCATCTCCATCATCTTTCACTGCCCTCCACGAAATTTGAACTGTCATGCATGATCCCACTTGGACTTGGTTGTGCATAAGGAAATACGCCTTCATGTTCCCCCGCCGTGCCCTCCACGATAGTTGAAGGAAAAAAAAGCCCAGAAAATAGAATCAGTTTGTGACGTCGGTCAGAACAACTGTACATGATACAAACTCTCGCCAGAACAATCCACATAGTACAGAATCGCCATTGATTACACAAATAAGAAAAGGGTGCAGAGCAAATAGTCAAGTATAGAAATACGGTACAGATTAATATAACATTTCATCAAATTTCATGAATGATTTTGCCATAACTGCCTATACTAAACTGGCGTAAAAACCCAGGAAATCCAAAATTCAGTATACATGAAGATCGCCGCAATATCCAACACTCTTCGTTCGGATACCCTAAAAAGCATTGCAGAGAGCACCTACGACTCGTGGGTAACTAATCCCTATTTCCCATATAGACAGCTTGAAGATCCAGTGTCATTAACCTAACTTTCCTCTTCCTTGACACCCACTTCACCAAACTTGAACCCTTGTGCCACCAAGATTGTAAAATTATAGAGTAGAGTTGGCACTCCAAGGAGTTAAATCTGCAGGATTCAACAATGAATAAATGAGATAATCGATATTGATGCTTTGAAAAAATTACCACACTTAGAGCTACGCATCACTACAAACAATTTCGAGAATGCATCGAGCTTTCCTGAAAAATAAATTTAAAAGACTTTTTTGTTGTACATAAATAAGTAATTAAAACTAACTAATGTAAAAATAAGTAAACCATGTTAATATACAGAAGAAGACGAAGAAAGCAATAAATCAAAACACCAAAGAAAAACGAATGTCACTAGGGACTCCATCTGAACCAGATGTACAATTTTGAGGTTTAAAACCGTACCTTAAGAAAAAGCGAGTATTGTCACAACAGGCCTGAGAAAGAACTGAAACATCTAAAAAATTCCGATCCGAACTAGTAGTAACTCATCTCTCGCTCATAAATCTACACCATTCCTGAATAGTCTATAGCCGCTTCATCTATTCTCAATTTTTTCAATATTTTTCCTATGCCTCTTCGTGTGAGATTTCTTCAAACCGTTTCATCCATTGATGTGTCTTTATCTCCAAGGTTTTTGGAAAGATTCGACAAACCACCTGCTTGGCACTCATCAGAGCCACTAGAAGGAGATACGGGTGGTGCAGACTGGGCCAGACCACTTTCTTCTTTACATAGAGGACCCGATGCAACATCCGGATCTTCTGCGAGAACTTGACTCAGCTCCTTCAAGGCTACAGCATGCTGCAGCCGTTTCCACTGAAAACCATTTTTCAACTTACTAGATTCCTTTCGCAATGAGCTTGTCAAATTTTGAGTTGGTCGAACTAGTTGCTCACCATCAGATCTACTCTGCAACTGCGATCCCATTGAAGAAGGAAGCTCAACGCTCATCCCTACCACTCCGGTCACATTGCCCTGCAAGTGCCCACTCGATGTACTTTTCTTCATAACGGCTGATGAAATGCCACTCTGATGTTCACTAGATCCAACCGTCCTAAGGACAGAGTCATCCTGCGATCTTGAAATGGATTTGGGAATCATTAGAACCTTGGGAGGCGGAAGCGAAGGTGCTGAAACCATGTCAACACTAGAAGCAATACCCGGACAAATGTCTCCAGTCTGATTCAGTTGAGATTTCTGTCCAGCCCAATTGCCTTGTGCCACAGTACCTTGGTTCCATGCAGCATGACCATTCACTTGTCCTGCAGTGTTGGTCTGTTGGAAGCCAGCACGGTTGCCATCATCGCTAGGTGACACTTGGGCAGAATTGGGCTGCGGTTGCATTTTATGAAACAGCAAATGTGCAATGGAGCGATCGATGGGATTTGTCTGTGTTTCCACCATTGTCATATCCATCCTGTAAAAAACAGTTGACATCGGATCAACTTATAAACGTAATCAGTAGTCCTTGTTTGATTCTCACCAAATTAATGAGCAATATGAGTTTAACTTATAAACGGATCATAAATATGACAATTCATACCTAGACACCCTGCTTAATGATGAAGGGTCGCTGTTGGTAGAAGCTTCGAGACCAGTTGAGGTAGCGTCAGCATCCTGCGAGGCTTGAGAACACTTCGCAGTGTCATCTGCTGTTGCTCTTCCACCTGAAGCCTGCCTCCTCATAGCACTCCTTGCCAAACGATACAAGGCATCCCTTATGCATATCCTAGTTCCAAGTTCCAGATGCTGAGACCAAAAAGAAAACTTGAGGTTAAGTAGAGTCCATTTCTGATTCTACAAGTGATAGAACATCTATCACTAGACCGATTTCAGAATTAGTTAAACATTAAAGGACAGGTACAAAGAAAAACAGAGGACTAACCATGCCTGGAAATTTAGACAGATTTTCTAATCTGAAAAGTGTAGTGCACATACCGTCTTTATGGTATTCTGCAGTTGATCCAATACCGCAGACTCCAAAGACCCTCCTTCGTCATCAGACACACCATCTACAACAGTTTGACCTACTGAAAGAGACGGCTCGGTATCGCTTTCTGTTACTGGCATCTTCGTTTCACTAAGCTTCACACCTACATCCACTTCTTTTGAAGCCACACAAGGAAGCATGGGCGTCACCCCCTTCCTCGGACCACTAGTATCCAGTGGAGCAACCCCTTGAGCAGCAAATTGTTGCCCCTGCTGCTCCACTGCCAATCGTGCATGCATCTGCTGTATTAACTTCAGCTTTTCAATCTTTTCCTGCGGAGTCATGGTTGAAGTACTTGGCGGCGGACGAACTGAAACCTTCCCGGGTGGCCGAAGTTGATGTTGATACGGTGGCAATGGCTGCGGAAAAGCACATGGCTGTGGGTAGCCTACATACAACCCTTGCCCTTGCAATTGGGCAGGACCAGTAGGTGGAGCAACTTGTGGCATCACATGCATAGGACTGTACCCACCGTGCATGTAAGGGGCCCCAGGCCGAAACATTGGCTGCATTGCTGGTGATAGGTTTGATGGATTCACGGGATAACTATGCATGTTCGGGGTAGATGGTTGATTAAGATGGGCTACCTGAGCCGGCATATGCATCGGCATTGGATGCAGCGTCCGTGGACCCCCATAACCTGCACCATGAAAACCCTTGCGGTGGTTGAGCTGCCGCTTACTTCTTTCTTCGAGCCTTTTCCGAGTCACAGCATGTCGTCTCGCCCTTTGTGCCTGGCACAAGCAGGTTTATACGATGTCATTGTTATTTCAGAGAGAGAGTCTGAGGAAGACAAAGTGGTTACACATGACTTAACTCGTCTCTGATATAAAAATCATGCATAGATAGCGTCTAGCTTCACTTCAGAAGCTACAAAGGGAACAGATTCTCTAGAATACAAATTTGAAGTCTAAACACTTACAGAAAGATATCACCGCGAAGCGTAAAGTAAAAACTATGTTGAGAACATCCGTATCAACGCACCTGCGCCACTTTGACTTTTTCTGAATCCGAAACACTGACAGAAGATGGTCCTGACTCATCTTCAGGGGCATCCATTCCCATTGACACATTTTCGGTACTTTCAGACGTAGCCATGCTTCCAGTGAGAACCTCCATCATCTAAATCAACATCAACAACCAAAACAAAAACACCTCATTAACCTACTTGCAAAAATCCACGACCCTCCAGAAGATTTTCGCACAATTTACAAACAGACTCGATAGTGGGGGAATCCGTTGGGGTCAAAATACGCTCTGCAAAAGGGATCACTGACAATCCTTTGAGGTACATAATCAGAAACACACAAAATAAAAGAGGCCTACCTGAGTTTTCTGGGTATCATGGCTACTTCAAAGAGTTCCTGGCACTGACCTCCCAAGACCGAAAACTATCTGAAACCTGACCGACACATACAATCTGACAAAAAGTCACAATCAAATGTAACTTTCAGGATTCATACACATCAACCCTAGGAGAAAACAGATGGTACCCCCCCCCCCTATGTGTTGACCGCTCACTAGAAGATAGATGAAGAGGATAACGAGGACGGTAACTGGAGCTAGTACCTTCGCATCATCTAAGCAATCGCTTGAATTGGCCTGGGCGCCAGAATGCGGATCAGACTGTAGTTCGGCTTGGACATGATTATTGGGCAACCTGCTCTCAAAACTAGTCGCAGGTTGAAATTCAGCTTCTATGAAGGTCGTATTTTGACCAATTCCTCCACATGGTATAGATAGGGGAGCGTTGATAGGAACAAACTCCATTTCCAAGTCAAAAACGTCTACCTTTTCGTTCACACCTGGTCCAGCGTCAATGACTGATGACGACTTAGTCCCCGACAACTCACTCTCCGACTGCAGATCAAGAGGTGATGCTGAATCAGCCCATTGCAAAGTTGCAGGGCTGCAAGACACCCGCCCGAACGTGGATTCTGGATCAGAACTGGGATTTTCAAAAAAATAAAATATTAAAAAGACTAGTGTAAGCGTCACTGGAAAGGGCTGAAAAAAACTGCAATACCAAGCTATAACCCACTTAACATACCCTACTCTAGTCCCAAGGATGGTGCAATCCAACGCAAAGACATTTCCAGGTGACAGCATGAACGCAACACATAAATCACAAGCGTGAATTCCGCTGTGATTAAAGTATGCAAATCAAATGCTCTTAGATTGGAAAGCCGAAGCTTACCTGAGCAAGTTATCGACATCTTCCAAATTGCCAAAACAGCTATCCCAGCTGTAGTCTGCTTTATCATCAACACTGTCACCTCCAAACAATGAAAGGTTGTTTTCCTGAGCATCACAAAGTGAGAAGTGACAACTACTTGTAACAATACTGGAATCGTCCTCCGAAAAGAAGGAATCTGCCATAGAACCCCCTAAACCGCCACCTCCCAGAACTGGCGAGTCGACCTTCATGTCTTCCTTGATGGGAAACTCCACCCACCTGCAAGATCCCCCATAATGCATCGCATTCAGACTCAGAGGCTCAGGATCAAAATCGTCCCATCGACAGGCAGAATACAAGCAAGTTACTATTTTACAGATTCCCAAGCTGGTGACGAAACAAAAGCCGTGCTCGAAGAAATACACAAGTGTTTGCTTCAATACATAAGATGAGTTCAAAATATGTTTACGTACTCAACCTTACAGCTCTTTTGAAAGCCAGCATGTGTCCTCTCTTAATCAGTTACATTGAGACGTCACTAAATGGGCTTGCTAAACCATATAACCCACCCGCCTTGCTTAAGTAAAATCTTTCGGAAGGAACTTGCAATGAAAAATTCACTTCAGGAGCAAGCTTGATGCACGATTCATAATTTACTTCCCACACATCATATATGTGCCACACACACACACACAACGCACGAAGCACGCACAACTCCTTCAGACAGGTAGTAAGAGCCTCGGTTCGCGTACAATGGGCATTGTGTCGAAGGTACACACTATTCGTGAAGATCGAACGATCTGAAATATAGCGTCTTATTGCTATGCTCAGTAGCTGCACGTAGAGCAAATGACTTCAACTAGTACTATTGAAGTAAATAAAAGAATCCAAATCAAGTATTCAAGGATCGGAAACTATCCGTAATTTAATTGCGAATTCTTAAAATCAGGAATGTTTACAATGAACTTTTCCGCTTCAAAAGAACAAATGTACATAAATGGAAGATGTAATTGCAGGTAAAAAATCTATCAAACACTATTTGCGTGATATATGGTCTTCTATTCACAATACCTGTAGAGAAAACTTGCTGCCCGCGTATTATGTAGAATAGCTACACGAAAGAAGCAGATACTGCAGAGCCACCGCCTTAACGAGCGCTTGAATCGCCGTCCACGTTTCAAGCTCCACGACTACGCATCAGGATCATGTCCACCTTCCTTCTGACGAGGCATCTGACGGGATCGAAATAATAATAATAATAATAATAATAATAATTACAGGAATGCGCTTAGCGTTGCCATCCAACGCTGCGGCAGTAGCCGCTTTCTACTACCTGTAAAACCGCCTGTAGGTAGCTGAAGCACCGGGCTCAATGAAGCGGGAGATATGATCTTGAGGTCCTCCAGACATACAAAAGCAATGAATAGGATACATCTCCGAGACTACAACCTCTCTGCATACTTCCTCTCAAGACGGAAACTAAAGCACGAAGGATGAGACGACATTAAAGCTCCCGAAGATTTCAAAGACAACACCGAGCCAAAAATTAACTCTATTCAAGGCACAGAGCACTCTTCTTCCAGCCTACAAAGTGCACTCGCTGATACAGGCCCAGCAAACTAAGACCACACCGAATTGAACCCAAATGGCGCCACTCTTCGCGTAGACACTTCAAACAGTCGCCAAAGGCAACCTTTCCTACCGCACGCTAAGCGTGCTTGGCTCTGCTATCGGTGCAGAGCCGAGAAACCTCGATTTACAAAGTGCACTTGGGACAACTCTCTCAAAGGATTAGGGTTCGAACTGTAGCAAACTCGGCGATGTAGAATCTCGGTGGAATGCAGGAGGTCGACACTACCGCTACAACTGTGACGAGTCTCTGCGAATGGAGTGTGTAGGAGCCTGGCGACGGCATTGAGAACGACAACCAAGCTAGTTTTTCAGGAAGCTGCGAGAACCACAAACTGGCGCCACTAGAGTCCGCACTCTCCGTTCAGAGGGCATGTACATACAAACGAACGAAAGAACGAACGAACGAACGAACGAACGAAAAAAAACGAAAGCGAACGTAGAACGCGGTAATCTGTTCATTCACGTCGTATAAATATTCTTCGTCCGAGTTCCAACTGTTGAGCTCCTTTTAGCTCTCGCCTCAAATGCTCGTCTCGTGTGTAACAGTATATTAAAATAAAACTGAAAAATATATAAAACTGGTGGTGAAATTTCTTCACAGTAAAAATTTTAATGAAAAGGGGTATATAGTGACCACTCATTAAATTTTTGATATGAAATTCATCCGTACTTCACCCGACGTACTCTCTCAATACCACAAAATTACGACTTTTCAACAATTCTTCAACTAGTTTTTTTTTTTAATGGTCGGGTAGAATTCAGCACCACCAAGCAAGTAGTCAGTCGTAAGCAAAGTCAAAGGGAGAGCCAAAGGGAGATGGAAATATGTGGACCACAGAAATTACTTGATATTGGTCATAGGTGTGGTTTCTATTTCCGCGGGTAACAAATGAGGCATCCTTGTTCCCAACGTTCCCAGTGGCCTCTGAGCTTGTGAACTATCGCCAAGTGTGGTGCAGGCTTTGGTGGTAATAATCTAAGGGAGGTGGAGGAGCAGCACCATTCCTCATGTCACCGTGAACTCAGGCCCATATTCAAACTAATACTCTCATCCCACACTAATTAGGAGTGGGAAAAAATCTGTCCCTGTGTTGTGAGCATAAGCGCTCATTTCCAGGCAATCATTCATGATTAAATTTGGACCTGTGTTAGCTTATTGGATCATAGTACTTTCTAGATTTCGTCCACATCTAGAAAAATCTCTAAAAAATTGGACATTTTCCAAATATTTACGATTAGAATTTCTAAGTGGGTGTTTTTTCCACCAGTATTGAAATCGTATTTTTTAAAACTATTCCATTGGTTAATTGAATTTGAAAAAAAAACAAAAAAAAACAAAAAAAAAACAAGTGACAATGAATTTCAACTTTTTTTCACAGCGTTCTGTGTTGTGCACATACTTGTATTTTTACTTATATTTTAAACTAAACTGAACAAATAAAAAGTGAATATTTATTTACTGAGTTCATGTAGGCATTAAAGAAATATATTTTTCTTGATAACGCATATATATACTACATATAATTTAATGTAGTGTAGTTCATCTTCAGTTGATATTGAGAAGTCGAGTTCTGTTGTGCATTGAGGGTACTATTATAATCCTAGTAGTTTCTGTAAGAATCTTGTCTTAGAACCTTGAACTTATTGAAGAAAGTCCTCTAAGAAATACTTTGATACAAAAGAATCATCTCGCACTATTATACTCGCTCCCTTTTTATTTTTAATTTTTTTCAGGGCAAGGGTCCCTCCTTGACCAAGCCCTCCTGTCATACAACATGTGGATGATGATGATCTGTCACGCTGAGTTGGCCCCCACCTCAGAATGAAAGCAATCTCTCTGGATCTCGTAATGTGCTGACCTGGCAATTTCAGGGATGGAGAGGACCATCAGCATCTGCGGGTGTGAAGGAGACCCCCCCCCTTCGAACCAGCAATCTCCACTCTCGCAATCCCACTTTGCCTTCACTGCTTGCCAGTGTGGAGACAAAATTAATGTGGTTGAGTTTGGATGCTTCCAAGGGCAATGAGTCCTGGCTACTCTTGATGAGCTGGACCCTCTGTAATAAAGATTTTGTAATCTTCCTTTTTTAAAAGATTCGCATATAGATTCGTAGATTCTCTGACGATGTGTGCTGCTGTCGAACTCGAAGCTGTGGCTACAGAACTGAGAGGTGGCTTCATACTCTACACACGTATTTCCATCGCTGAGCTCCAACAGCTGCGGCTGTGTCTCTTTAGCTTCAGATCGGGCAGCGACGCATGTGGTTCATTACATAATTGGAATCAAATATATTGTTTTAGAAAAAATATTTTGCTTTTATATATATATATATATATATTTGTTCTAGCTGAAAGGAAAAAATGTGCACACACAAACCCTAAAAATCTGTGCTTCTTGTGTGTCGGATAGAACAAGTCGTTTGGATTGTGTTACCGTAACCTGTTACAACAACTGAATTTCTTCTTGTAGTACATAGCTTTTGAGTTCGTGGGTCGTGTTCGCATGTTCTGTATATATTTTTATTTTAAAATGTATATATTAATGTTTTTGCTAAATTGTTTCTCAGCTAATGTTTCTCTCAGCGCTCGTGATTGAGGGAATTGAAAGATGGGTTCAGTGAACCATTGTCCACTGAGGGGAAAGATGAAAACCGGAAGAAATTTCTGAAGAAATTATCTGGCGTGTGCCGCAAACGAAGGAGATTGTGAGTTTCCAAGCGAGCTGGGATTGGAAACTAGAACAGAGAATCTGGGTGTAGAATCCCACAGGCAGATCTGATGTGAAGCTGTGATTTAATGGAGAGCAATTTTCTTTTTAGTGGTAGGTGATTGGCCGGACGAGGGATCGCGGGGGCAGATATGGTGCTCTCGGCTGCCAGACCTTCCACCGCTCACTGGATACGGTACTGTTAACCCAGAATAGGCAAGCAGTTCCGCACACCCGGCTTCCCAAGCCAAGCGAGCTCCACTCATAACTAGGTGAATGTCAACTCGTTTTCTCAGAATCAGCAACGCCAAATCAGTACAGGGCGTACGTTGCGTATTTATAGTGGCTGCCTACTAATGCGACGTTATTGAGAAGTGGGCCTCTCCATCGCTCTCGTTTTTGTCGATCTCAGCCACCGAAGGGTTCTTCCTTCCCACATCGCCATGTCCACACAGGTTTTCATTCCTGCTCCTCAGGGCCAGGCTTTGCTCCCTCACAACCCAGCCCCCGAAGATAGAAACATGGCGAATGAAATAGAATCTTACAGCACGGTATTACTTGGCAGAGAAGAGATTCGCTGCGAAGCGCTGCGAGCCACTAGTTCACTAAGTGGCTGGCCCATTCCGTCGTTTTTATTCCACTGTGCCACTTGCGTCAGTTGGTGGGGCAGCCAGGCAGGCAGTGGAGCTGGTGCTGCAGCTACGAGGGAGCTGCAACAACACAGGAACAAAGGACCACGAGCACAGTCTCTGTTTGGCCTACGTATTGGTGTCGTACCACGGGCAGGGGCAGCTCAAAACCTTCACCCAATTACTCCACGTTGCTCTATACTATTGGAAGCTATGACAACTTCCTTTAACGGGTCAGAGTAACAAATTTCTCAGTAAGTTAGTGAGTGAATGAATGCTGCAGTCGGGGTGGAGTGCGAGCATGCTTGTGTCCGTCTATAGCCGTCTCGTAGGAGGGGAGGATCGTCGAAGTGGGGACCAGGATGCAGTGGATGGAGGTCTTTTCCCCGCTTCGCTGCCGTCAGTCGAAGCATGGGAGAATAAACGTTCCAACTCTTCCCCCCCCCCCCCCCCACTTCGTCCTCTGCTGTCTTCTCCACATGGGAGGTGGATTTGCAATAAGGTTAGCTGCACGCAGATGTCCACTCGCCCTGCTTTTGCGTGTTCAATGTTGAGGTGCCGCCGCCTCGATTGCATCTTCTTCTGCCGCCCCGCTGTTGATTGCGGTATCAGGATCCGGACGACGACGACTACACTGTGGACCAAACCCTCGGTTCTCGTATTGGATGGAAGGGTTCATTCGCTCACGGGCTCGTTCTTTCATCCAATGACTACAATGTCCTATAATTGTTAGAATCCTTCTTTTGGAATATTTTGCATGATGTAAAGATGTCATCATTGATTTTAGTGACATTTTTAAACGTTTTGTAAAATACTTATGTCACTTTTATGCAAATAATTATATATATATATATATTTTAAAATAATTTTTTTAATTGATTTTTCTTTAAAACATATATGTATGCAAATATTTAAATTATAAAAGAACAAAGTATGTAATAAGCTAAATTTATACATTATAAAAAGTTATATAAAAGTGGTATAATATATGCATCCTATAACGCTCCACTAAACCATCTATATTATATTTAAACTTAAAAATTCACTTGCATCAAATAGATTTCTTATGAAGGTGTTAAAGTCCAAGTCTTATCGTCTATAATATTTTTATACAATCATTCTATTGTTTCTTTCCACTTTTAAGTATCATCGCTTCTTATAGCTTCATCAATAATAATATGTTCTTTAGTGCTTGTATAAAAAACATATGCAATATGAGTTGAAGATAAGAAAGATTTGGAAGGCATCTAAGCGAGTGTTAATTAAACAATTACTTATCTTTGTGCCAGTTCATGTGCTTGTAAATGAGTTAACATAGGAGAAGGTGGAGTTGAAGTTGGAGGTGGAAGTACGATTATATCAGTTCATTAATGACCAAGTACATGAATTTGCAATCAAATCTCTTTTATTAAATATTAAACATTCAATAATAGGACATTATTTGTCATAGATACATTGTATAAGAGACCAAACAAGAAGTTGAATGGAAGAGTTTTAACAAGCAAACTAACAAGAACTTGATTAAATATAATGAATACAAGTTTAATACAAAGAAAAGTAAGCTAGAGCTCCAAGAAATATATTGTCAAAATTGAAGATACTCTGAGCTTCAATTCAAATATATACTAAGTATTATGAAGCTTCTCAAGAAGTTTCTATATTGCTTGAAGATAAATCAACCTTAAGAAGCTCTTTGAGAAATTTCTATGATGTTTAAAGATAAAAACAATTTTAAGAAGCTTCTCAAGCAACTCCTTTAATTTTCTCAGAACTTTTTAGAAATTGTTGGAATATTTTAAAAACCTTGAAGATCTTCTAAAAATCTTTTAGAACCTTCTAAAATATAATAAATTATTTTAAGAATATTTTGTTGCATATCCATAATATCACCTTCTTTTCTAATTCCAAGTTCCACAAAGATTATTGCTTTGATATTTGTTTTCTTTGTTATTTACAACATCTTAGCAATAGCTTCCTAAAAAAGTCATCTTAAAATAGGTTTAGGTTTTTGAAGATAAT